GCGTTTACAGCATGCTTTTTTCTCGGCGCTGTTGTCGCACTGTGATGACGTCAGCTACGCGGTTTCGTCAAGCGCCCTTTAGTCGAACACGGTTTTGTGGTGGAACCGGTGAGGGTATATACAGGCTGCCAAGGCTGTTTTTACCCTTCCAAGAACAAGGAAATGAAAGGAAGCTAGTTTTTCAGGAGGGAAACAACACTAGGCAGGTTGAAGGAAAGGAGATGAGATACCTTCATTGTTGTTTTCTGTGAAGAAAGAGAAATGTCTGATCCTAATTGTACTTTAAATAGCATTCTTAACAATGTCTGTTTCATGCATCCTGCTAAGTTGCCATTTGTTATAGCGATTTGTTATAACCATGATTTGTTGAGAAAGCCAGGAACAAGCCAAAGCCAGTTTTGCCATAAGACGTGTTGGGTAAATTCCTAGGATTTTCCTCTTTGTTACTTCTGCCAGGAACAAGAAGAGCTAAGTTGAGTTAAAGACAAATTTAGGAATAAACCAATGTTACACATTCGGACGTAATAAATCATGGTTAAAACAAACTGGGAATCGCAGTACCAAACATTGACTTGTTGCAAGAAAAATAGGGCCAAGAAACTATTTCTTGGGAAAGGAAAGGAAAAAAATAATTTCATCGTTCAAACACGGAAAAAGCCATGACCTGGATGACTGAGAATCTCTATAAACATGGTTTAACATGCTATGTGAACTAACCGGTGCATGATTCTAGTTATGAATAAGATGTATGGAATGACTATTTGTAATTTCTCTCTTTCTGTAGAAGAAATGAATGATGAAGAAGAAGAGGATTTCCTTCCACCAGAGCTGAAGGAACTGCTACATGGCATTAAATCCCCTCCAACCTCACGTTTGGACCAAGACATGCATTTCAGTTTTCTTCATGAGAACAACCAAGGCTCCTTGCCGCCAGCCGATACTGTTGACCCAATCATAGCTAGCCATGGTTTTGAACAGCTTCTTCCAAGAGACCCGGAACCAGAAGAAGTGCAGGGTAGCGTTGATGTCGCCATGTCTGTGATATGTAACGATACGTCCATGATGGTAGCGGTAGCAAAAGACTCACTGGAGGTTAGCAAGTTATTTCAATTTCATTTCAAAGGGAAATATTTTGGATTCTGGATGTCATGTGATTACCGCTGCAAGGCTGGCATCCCCACAACTGCTTTGTACTGCTTGGGGTTCCCCTTGCTTGCTCTGATGACTATGGTTCTGCTAAACCTCAACGCAAAAGCCAAGTTAAAAGCTGTTCGCCTCGTCAGCTCGGCAAGAGTCATGTGACCTAAAGGACCATTAGTGTTCCATTTGGCTCTAAAAAGTATGGACACTCAGCTGAGTCCAGTCTCAGAAGTGTAGCTTTTCTTCAGATGCAGTCCTAAGCCTAATCAAAAGAATAAAGTCATAGTAAAAGCTACAATAAGTGATAGAAATAAGGGTAGGGGGCAGTGGTGGGTTTCAAAAATTGTTCGAACCTACTCTGTGGGTGTGGCCTCCTTTGTGGGAGTGGCTTGCTGCCCATGTGACCGGATGGGAGGATGCCAACGACACTTGTCAGAACCACCTTAAATTACCTCACACACAGAATATGTGTGCATAAGAATATGATATTGG